AAAGGACACACCGTACATCCAAAAAGTTGCTTAAAGACCCCCAAGTATAACAGTAGTTTTGCTTAAAGACCCCCAAGTATAACAGTAGTTTTGCTTAAAGACCCCCAAATATAACAGTAGTTTTGCTTAAAGACCCCCAAGTATAACAGTAGTTTCACTTTCCAGAGGTCAGTCAGTAAAGAAAAAATAAAACAGATCTATCACGGTAATTCTCCAAGATAGATCTGCTGTCACCGAACCACAGTAATAAATGTTGATTTCCAGAAAATTTATATTAACTGAAGATAATGTACTTTAGTGAAATCTCATTTGAACATAATACAGTTTTGGTTCTCATTTTCCTTCATCCAATAAGAGTGTTAAGAGTGGATAAGGCAGCTGACCTGCTGTTTTGGTGCCATTATAACAAGACAGTCAATGCTATTCATTTAATCTGTCAGCAGTTTTAATGTTACGGCTGATCAGTGTATACTGTAGATTGCAAAGGTCTTGGGCAGTCAAAGAAAATAATGTTTAAATGATCTTCAAGTTGGTGTAAAACTATGATAATGTCCGATAAAGTGTATCCATGGATTAAAGCAAAAAAAAAAAAATCATCTGACTGAAATTTTTATTTATTTTGTTTATACCACACAAATGGTTTTTGGATATGCCAGGCAACAAGAAGCCCGTGCCATTCACCCGTTTGCAGATCTCGTCTTTGTTTTGGGACATTAAAAGCCTTTGAGACTGATGTGGCACTAAATGCTTATGTATACTTAATATGAAGTTTGGCATCTTAAACACGCGTCGGGAAATAGCTTGCAGCCTATAGGCCACTCCGCAGCCGTCAATGTTTACGTGAACTGCCGAAACCATAATGTTTATTTTCATTTTTAGGAAGAATAATTAAATCGTAATTAAACCAAAGAAAAAGACAGCCTTTCCAGAAGTTTGTCTGCCAAAGCTTGTTTAATACACCACCCCCCCCTCCCCGCCCCCGCCATTTTTTTTTCCTTCAGATCTGCATCAATCAATCTCATTATTAAACTTTAGTGCACTCAGTTGACGGAAATCCGTCATAGCGACAGAACACTTCAATCCATACGCATCAGCTCACCCATTTGCAGCGACTGTCCAATATACGAGTGTAGTTTTTGACCCCACCTTGTTTGGTTAATCAACACCTCATTGAGTTACTAAATTTAATGAATGAATGAATGAATGAATGAATTAATTGAGCAGATGGCAAAATTTAACAAATGTAGGGAATGGCCGAGGTGTCCCTGAGGCGAGGCTTGGAATGTTCTTCAAGATATCCAACAAAACTTCTTGGAGAACAACAGAAATTATTTATTATTATCTTACTATTAATTTGCATATGTTAAATTGCATTTTTGAGCAAATATACACTTTCTACCCACATACATAACCTTAAACATTTTCTTTGATTGGCGAAGCCTTTTGCACAATATTATATACACCTAATGAATGCTCAGAATAGTGTTCCACAAAAACCACATGCCACTTCTGGTACTTCTCTGAAGGATCCCCATGAGCCTTTTCTCCCAAAATAGCCTGTGAACAGCAGCTTCTCACACATTTACAAGATGCATATGCAATATTCAGTGTGCTCAACGCCACTCATCAGAGATGTTCCTTGGGAAATTACAACTGCAAATTAAACACATGGCAGAGGGGATCTTATATTCACACCTAGCTCAGGACCCTCACACAGCGGAACTGAGATACTCCCATCTCAGAGACATCAGTTTGAATGTATGACAGTTGGGATGGAGGTTGAAGTAACTGTTTGGAAGCGTGGTAATTGAGTCACCCAGTCACATGGGGGCGACAGGGAGCAGGAACTTACCCTGTGCTGAGGAGGAGGTACGTTGACGCCAGGGACAAGGAGATACTGAGGAGCCGCTGGAAGAGGCGGGTGGAGCTTAGGAGGGGCACCACGAAGGAGGAGGCTGGAAAGAAAGAGCTGGATAGGTTAGCGGCCTTTGGGGGGTCAGAGGGAGAAGGGTTAGGGTTAACAGGATCCCTGGTACTGGACTAAAGCAATGAATAAAGTAAGGCTTTCATGCGAGGAACACTTAACTATTGAATGCAATTATCAAGAGGTATGTAATTACAGTGACCTTGTGACTGCACTTTGAAATAGGGGTGTCAAAAATTCAGTTACCACAAAAGGGTATTCTCTAACACAGAGGTCACTAAAAGGCGGACCGCGGTCCAGGTCCGGACCCAGAAGTTGTCCTATACGGACCCGGACCGATAGCCGAAACATTATTACTTAAAACCTGACGCTTCTATTTTAACCTGCGCAGCATTTGTGGTCTTTTCGGTAGTGGTTTAGCAGTAGAACCGCAGTTTCACACGCCAATGAACGTCAAACACCTTTAACCACCAAGCTAGACGTAGTTCGTCTCATGCAGCCCTTTGTCTGCGCTAATGTGCCATTAGTGTTAATAGCAGCAGCGAAGCTAAAACCCGCAACCAAAAAGCCATAAGGTTCCTAACAGAGTGACTGATCTGTCCTGAAATCATACTGCTGAAAAGTTTTTAAATACAGTATGTATTATATAACATGTTGGATAAATAGACGTAGTTTATTGTTGATTTCATGTTCGTCGAAGTTTCTGCTTTTTAACATATGTATAAAATAATGTTATCTGTTATATAAATAAACTCAGGTGAAACAAAAAATGTACGTTTTCATGGCTGCCAAATCTCAAGCATCTGGCATGACACTCACGCTTTCAGACTCACACTGGAAATCTTACGACAAATCTATATTATTCCATTATAAAACCTAAAATTAGCTACGTCAAAGGTGTATTTACACGGTTAAATACAAAAGCAGACTATTTACAAGGTAAGAACTGTTACATGTGTACAGACATCTTGAACTGAAAATCTCACTCCAGACAGCAGGCTGAAGTTCTTTGTCACGTGACAATAAATATTGTCAAAAGGTTTTTGAATTGTACTGAATTAATTTGATTTGACAGTCAGGTACTGATTAAATGCAATGTTGATGCAACTAATAGGCTACTTAAATATATATCACACTAAATAGTTAGACATTATGATATTCCGGACCTTTGCTTCAAGAAATTTTCTCTAACTTTAAATTTTTGTTGAATACCCCTGCTCTTACAGATGTCAAATCACAACTATTTAAAAATAAAAATACGTGTCATGTCAAGGGCATGCTGTTTCATAGGCCGCAGTACAGGGAATATTGCAACGTGCTAAATAGTTCAGCTTCACCGATTGTAATCTTAAAGAGGTATAAAAAGTACTTCCTGAATAATCAGGGAGAAAAATCTGACCAATACTTCTTTGCTCATTCTGTGGTTCTTCACCTATTACATCTCAGTGACATACAGTACAAAGATAGGACCATGAGCCGGCTTTCATGAGACAGAAGTATAGCGGTCATGCACGCATGCAGACACACGCATGCAGACACACGCATGCAGACACACGCATGCAGACACACGCATGCAGACACACGCAGGGGGGCGGGGCCGGGCGGGTGAGGGGTCCCACCTAACGTGACCCAGCTGAACACCTGGTTGGTCACCGGGAGGCCTTGTTTCTGGCGGAGGCTGGAATGCGTGCTGGACACCACATAGGTGCACAGGGCCAAGTGAACCATCTGCAACCACATCAGCAAACACCACAGCTGTTTCTAAGATTATACATTCACAGGACCTATTTGGGGAGCTATTTTTATATCTTAAAGGCAGCACTCATCAGAAAACGAACTGAAACTCCAGTTGCTTCAGAGTGAGATACTGTGTCGTACATATGAAACAATGAACAGGCAATACTAAATGACCTGAGAGATGTAGAAGAGGCCATGCCCCCAGCGCGGTGGACTGAGCCTCCGCGACAGCCAGAGGAAGCACGCGGAGGTGAGCAGGATGAGGGCCCCAGCACATACCCTGGGGGGGGGGGGAGCCACACATCAGTGGGCAAAATGACAGGCGCTTTGTTTCAGTGGAGAAAGTTCTCCATAAACAGAATGGGGGCTCTGAAAATTTGTAGGGGAGGGGTTAGGTGGTGCTGAGTGGGGGGGGGGGGGGGGCAGAGCACTGATGGTCTTACACGAGCCCCACGTTCAGCTCCCTGTCCACCACAGGCATCAGGGGGAAGGCTGCCAATGACAGGCAACCCATCACCCAGCCCAGCGACTTGGCCTGGGGGGTAAAGAGACAAACAACACTGGCATTGCTCTGACCTCAGGGATAGTTTTTTTCAGCCAAAAAAAAAAAGGAGTATTAGGAAAGTTTACTACAGGCAGGGTGTGCAACAATAGGTGTGTGTCAGTCGGTAAAGGCTTACCTTTGCTCGAGTGTGTAAGCGAGATACAACGGGCCACCCTGACAACAGCAGTAGTCCGAATGTTAGCACCGCCCGATAGAAAAAGCTAACCACCTGAAAAGTAAAACAAGTAACGTTGGATCACCATGCTAGATGTGAATGAGGCTAATGCTAATACACAGATATGCACGTTTGCAAAGAGAAAGACGTGAAGGGGAGCTCACCAATAGCTCAATCCCGAAAGCCACCAGCACGAAATAGCTGATATATTTGGCCCAGGGCAGTGAGGGGAGCGAGCTCATCAGGTCAGCGAGCGTCCTGAACCTGGAACAGAGCACATCAGGTCAGCGAGGGTCCTGAACCTGGATCAGAGCACATCAGGTCAGCGAGCGTCCTGAACCTGGAGCAGAGCTCATCAGGTCAGGGAGCGTCCTGAACCGGGAGCAGAGCACATCAGGTCAGGGAGCGTCCTGAACCTGGAGCAGAGCTCATCAGGTTAGCGAGTGTCCTGAACCGGGAGCAGAGCACATCAGGTCAGCGAGCGTCCTGAACCTGGATCAGAGCTCATCAGGTCAGCGAGCGTCCTGAACCTGGAGCATAGCTCATCAGCTCAGCGAGAGTCCTGAACCTGGATCAGAGCTCATCAGGTCAGCGAGCGTCCTGAACCTGGATCAGAGCTCATCAGGTCAGCGAGCGTCCTGAACCTGGAGCATAGC